TATTATAATTGCTACTAACTGCATTGCTGGATCTACTAATCGTATTACCAATTGTTTCCATGTTTCAATTTTTGACTTTTTTCTATCGTTTGCCATTTAAACATTACTATTGAAAATCTCAAAGCAAATTCATTTTTTCGTATTAAATTGGGAAATGAAAAAATCTTGTTTTGGAGTATAATTTAAAAAAGTGAACATCATTCGTTTTATTTTATTTTATTTTCTTTGTTTTTTCTTTTGTTTTGTTTTTTTTGTTTTGTTTTTTTGTCTTTTCACTTACATTTACAAAAGCATTCTTTTTTGTTTATACAGTTAGGTGAAGTGAAAAGCAGAACGAAATCAAATTACACCGCCGATTCTCTATTCGCTTAAACCTGTAAAAATGCAAATCCTATTAGTGTGTCTGATAAGAATTGGCTTACCTCGACAGATTCGTTCATACCATTATCTCCAAACCGAAGAATATGAGTTTCCTTTTGTTAATATTTTTGTATATGAAGTTGTTATTCTTGTTGGTTTTCTTTCGATGAAAGTGATTAATTAATTAGAAAGCAGCTTCTTTGCTTTTCACTCCTGTTATTCATGTTTGTCGCACATAGATAAGTTGGAAGAGCTACAATCTCAATATTTATAAAGCATCTCTGAGCTGGACAAGAAAAGCAAAACACTTTATAACAGCAAAAACTTACAATAGTTCATTTCAAATCTTTTTCATTAACTGATAACAGAAGACGTTCAGAGTACATATATAAGGGCTCGGAAAGTCATTTAAGAGAGTCTGATGGAGAAGCAGTTGTAGTTTGTCAAGATAAAAGAAAAACACTTTTCCAATAGAAAAACGACGCAAGAAATGTCAGTTCTTTCTTGATTTGAGCTATATTTGGGCCTTGACATTAATCCATTGTAGCAGAGAGATGCTACTACTTCCTAACAGACAAGGATGGTGTCTTTCAAAATAAATGAATTCAACACATACGTGAGTTTTTAATTATGTTTATATAAACAACAACATGGCTCAAAAGAGGAGAGAAAAATATACTTGTGTGTACAGATAGACAACTCAGAAAAAGAGAAAGAATACATTTATTAGCTTAAATGTAGTGTATGTACGAGAGAGAGTTTCAAGTGGTTGGATGAAATTAAGAAGTCGGCTTGCATTCTAGTGTAAGAAAGAGAGTGTCCTTTACTTTTATTTCCATGCCATCAAGCGGACGTTTAGCGAAGTTCATCGGCAGAAAAGCATTAAAGATCAGTATCTTTTATACAGGTAACATTAATCCTCGATTTTGCTAAAGTCCTCAACGACCAAAGAGAACAGGTGTTGGGGATGTGCAGAATGAATTAATTGTAATTGAGTGAATCAGAAGGAATTTGTGTAGGTTGCGTGACTTTCTGCATCCACAAACAAATAAATAAACGAATTTTAAATACAATCAAAAACAAGACATATTCAATTTAGAAACCAACCAAACATTTATATACAATTAAAAGTAATATATATATACAGGATATTTTGGTATATGTTACTATAGCAAAGTGTATGTGATATTTGAGGTTTCGGCATGTCTCTTGTTGTATTTGTATGTTCAGTTACACTCTTTCTGGAGTCGTGTTAATTAATATTAAAAAATGTCGATGTTAAGTGTTTTTAGGAATGAGTTCTTATAGAGTGGTCTATCTTCGACTGTAATATTTCTGAATCGTTCGAATGTTGATTTTTACTTAATAATGTAGTGAGTATAGTTCACTTTGGATAAGCAAAGTTGTTTTAAGTTTACGATCGGATGTCCACAGAGTTGGTCGAGTTTAAATTGCAAGTGAGTCAGCGTTGATTTACTTTTGCGCGGTAAAGTCGTGATTTCGAGTGATGTGGAGTATGTTGGCAATTTCTCTGTGGATGTTCGTTTCTGACCCTTTTTTTCTGTCGGTATTTTCTTTTATATGTTTTGAAAGTCCAAAATCGGTTCAAAGAAGTTTTGGCGCAATTTTGTTTTGCACGTGAAACTTTCAGATTATTGTGTCGTTAACCAATGAGATTTGTTGATTCGCCTAGTACGGTTTTTTATTGGTCGAAGATTTCCGTACGTAGGCGTAAGGTATAGACTGTTCTGTTACTAGGGGTGATAGGTAGAAAAGGACGAGTCTACACAGGTATATCTGATACCCAAAATGTTACATAACAAAATTACAACAGAACAAAATAAAAATGACAATTGATTTTTGTTAGTTTCCAGACACACACAGTTTTTTTAAAACACTTTATTCAATTGATCAAACCTTCATCTTTCCGTTAACATGTTGAACTTTCATTTTATCTTATTTGTAAATAAGTGTGTATCTAATGAAGATATCTTAAACAATATTCATTAACACTTTAATAAATGTTCAGACGATAGATATAAATATTATCATACAGCATTTCAAGCAAAAGACACACTACAACATTCTGTTTACATTTAATATTTTATAATATTTTAGCGCGAATTCAAAGATGAAAGGAAGTCTTGTGAAGTACTTAGGTATAACAATAAGCATCCAACGATGAAAAACTATTTATTTTACATTGCAAATATTTAATTTTTAAAATGATATCTTTTTCTTGTCATCATTCTTGTGATGAATGATTATTATTTTGATCAAACATTGTACAGAGAAAACCTAAGATCAAAATCTAGCTATTAACTTCGCGTCAGACTATGAACTTACTGATCCATTTTTTAATTTTTTCACAACCTTAAACTAAAATAAAAATAGAAGAAATGCATTTGTTATTCGTAAATGAAAAGTTAAGAATTAAAAAGAGAAATAATTTTGGATCGGCATCGTTTTCCTTTTAGAAAGAATTTTTTTCTAATCAGTTGACATGCGAAACAATCACGAAGAACATTTTGGAGAAATCTTCAAGTTTTATTTTTTCGCAAGTTATTTGAATTTTCTCATCGAAACAACTCTCTATTTAATAGAGAAGGTGGAAATCTGAATAATGCTTTGATGACTTCCATATCGATGAAATAAAATGTCTTATGGCAGTATTAAGTCTCTTAAAGTTAGTGGTCAGTATCTTCAAGTATTAAAATATACACAGTTGTCCAAGTCAGAGTGAAAAATACACACTTTAAGATATTATTTTTTTATTTCAACCAGTTTTGGAAATATCTTTCCTAGTATTTCCATATCAACTGTTATTTTATACTTTGTATGTTCTAAACCAAATAAAATCTTTTGTGAGACAGATTTGGATCGATTTTAATGATTTTTATTTAAATATTCTGTAAAAAATCGATTATTATGTTGGATGAAAATGTCATTCATACATGTAGATGTCTGAGTAAGGTAGAAACGAGTTGAAAACAGGAAATAGTCTGTGAGGCTGAAGGGATTTCATTTCTAATAACTTGGATACCTTTTATTTCCTCTTTTTGCCAAACTTTATCAAATAACGTGTTTCCTCTCTTGTTCTGCTTTGTTTTGTCTTTCTTCACATTTTCTCATTTTACAAGTATTTTTGTCGCTCTCATGCCAAACACATTTCTACTCTATTTTCACATAAAATGTAATTCATCCCAAGAATTTGTAATAGTTTTCATTATTAAAAATATTTGTTTTAGATCTAAAGTAATCTTTAGAAACCAAAATCATGAAAGTGAAAACTTTCAGTTGTCGCCTGTTGTAAAAAGCCACAAACGAGTTAGTTTTTTAACAAATTTTCTTAAGCATAAGAAAATTTGAGAAGCATTTCATTTCCACAGATTTGTATTTTTAATCTCAAGCTAAACTCGTGTGAACACGAAAAACGGCTACAAGATATATTTTTTCAGATCATACAGTCAATTGTTAATTGTTATTATTTCTTTTTCTTGCTTTATTTTCTTTCATTTTTAAAATAAACTAAATATTGGTGTGTATAGATTCAGCGCTTTGAATAAAACTAACGGATCAGTGTTTGTTTATATCCAGAAGTCAACTTCCAAAAAAGTCAACTTCATATTGTTGCCATGAATAAAAAACATCAAACAGCTAAATTTAGCAATAAATATAAACGCAAATTTAAGTGAAGATTTGTCTTTGTTTTCTAGGAAGAATAAATACTTCAAGATTATGTAATTTTAAAGAGCTGTCGTATTTCGATTTCTACTAGTCTTTCCTATTTGTTATAGTATACTGCCCTAGTCACTGACACCGTGAAAAAAAAGCTATCCTACACTAAAATTAAAACATTTTCTATTAACCTTTCTGTTACCTGACAGTCAGGTAAGAATGAAAACGTTGCATTGCTGCTGTTTTACTTCTTTTCTGTATGTAATAACATTTTTCCTAACACTATGTGGGCGTAATGCTTGCTTTGACGTTAGAGAGTTTCAGGCCAACACCTAACAAAAGCGGACAAATAATTTATCTGAGTGAATCCCAGTTTATCCAGATTTCTACGAAGGTGGGAAAACTTATTCTACAAATAGAGATAACAACTACGAGATTCAAGTAAGAATTATGTGATTTGCTCTGAAAAGTTTACATCTTTAAGATAAGGAATTTGACACAGTTGTTGATAATCGGAACAGGCTCAACTTGACGAAATACTCAGCTAAATTTATCTGTTTAAACGCAAGCATTTACAGACATTCCGTGCAAGAGAAATATTTTGAAATTAATCAGAAACTGATTACCGCCATATTTAAAATACTGCTCCTTCATATTCATGCTATATTGTTTTGTTTTTTTTACTATAAATACTATTATACTTTACTATATATACTATTATACGTTCCGAAAAATAATGCTGTGTGGCTGGGCATACAGCGAAGTGGTTATGATGAAGAAAATGAGTTTGATGTGCGGTGTTCAAATTCCAACTGAGGCAGTTACTTTCTCTTTCTCTTGGAAAGCTATGAATCCATCTTTTCCCCTAACTATGGGTAAATAGCGCCACAGACTTGACTTTGTTGCTTGGGTTGGAACCAGTCTAGGAGAAAGACAAGTTTGAATACGAAAACGATTGGGGCTTACGGCCAAATCACACTGAAATACTGGTTCCCGTATGATCACCGAATTTAAGCAATGTCGAGCCAGGTCAGTACCTTGATGGCTAACCGTTTGGGAATACCAGGTGCTGTAAGCTTGGATGTGCGGGTGGTGTAATGGATAATAACTCTGGATTGTTCATCGGAGAGTCGAGTTCCAATTCCAGTTGGATTCGTTAAATATGGCACGAATGTAGGCGCCATCTTTTGCATTTTAATATCTCTTGCGAGTCGACATGTGAGAGGAACTGAAACAAAAAATTAATTTCTGAATTACTTATACTTTTCTCGATACAACATTTTTCAAAACATAAATATTTTATCTCCACATGAAATTTGAAAGTAGACTGTTCATTCGATTTCTGTCAGTGACATGTGAAAGTATTTTTCTTAGTGGCCGATTTTAGGCATAATCTTTTTCTATCAATGATTGATTCATTTTAACACATAGTTCTCATCTCAGATACTTTTACTTCATCCTTTCATTTTCTTTACTCTCAAAGAATGAAAGGCTCATTCCAGCTGCCATCTTTACAACAAACCTTTTCACCTTGTTTTCGCCTTTCTCAGCGTAAATGATTTTCAGGTTTACTTGGTTCTCACTCATTCCCCTTGCGTCCAACTCTTGAAGCTGAACTAATTATTTCTTTATAATTACATGATACCTTTCCCCACTTCCAACCAAGAATATTTTCAGCTTTATCGATTGCTCTTGAACCTTTCCGAAACAGTTTCTCCTTACTTTCGTCAGCATCTGAACGCTAGAATCCAAATTGTTGAATAGCAAAAACACTGACCACTCTTCGTTAAAGGTTCTGGTGGCTGTACAGATAGATAGATAGATAGATAGATAGATAGATAGATAGATAGATAGAAACGGTGTGGATATACAAACAATGGTCGCTTAAGACGAATCTGGTAGTGACTATACAGTTTTGATTTTCTTTTCTAATCATTTTACCACAAACAAGAAAATAAAGCCACAAAGTCGCAAGGGTTTGCTGAGTATGAGAGAATATGAAAAGAAGATTATTAAGGTGAGAAAAAAAATAAAATCACAGGAGTTCAGAAGAAAGAAGATAACTATTCATAGTGCATTTAAAATTTTGAAGATTAAAATTGACTAGCAAGCAAGCCATAAGAGAGTTCTACAAGCGAGAAGTGCGAGACAAGAAAGTTACGATTACAATTAGGCATTTCAGCAGTAAAATGATTAAGACCTTGCCGCCAATCTAGTACTGAAGTACTATGTGCACTATATTGAAAACCCTTTATCCATAAATATATTATGCAAAGTCCAACATACATTTTAATTTCATTCTTTTGAAAACTTTTTGAAAAGGTTGGCCACAATTCGCTTTTCAAAATATGAAAGTGCATTATCCTCCATGAATATACTTTTAGCTTCTTGATTGTGACTTTTACCACGCAAAAATTGTTTGGCCTAAAACATGAACATGAATTTAACATGAAGAGTTTTATAATTTTCCGACCTATAATACGAGCTCAAAACACTACTCCACTCGTTGTTGTCGTCAAAGTTTTGCTGGTTGACTATTTCTACGAAGAACTCACAAGCACATGATCAGGCCAATCCAATGTAATTTCTAGTTTGATTGTTCCCCCCACCACCACCTTTAGCTAATGTTCTTATGCAACTTTTTCTCACTGTTTAAAATCGCAGCACAAGATTTTTCAAATATTTTCTTTTTGATTAATCAAATTTTCTTGAAAATTAAAAAGTTATAAAATGTTTTTTTTTTTAAATTTTCCTCAACCTTTTGTGACATTCTTGCGTTCAACTTTTGCGCAATTTCTTTTCTCAGTAATTTTACTATGTTTTTTTTTTTCTCTTTATTATAAGTCACTACATATATATATATATATATATATATATATATATATATATATATATATATATATATTGTAGTGTCTTATAATAAAAGAAACAAAATATATATATATATATATATTGTAGTGACTTATAATAAAGAGAAAAAAACATAGTAAAATTTATATATATATATATATATATAATTAACATCAATATCTATACTATTATATATATTTATTTACAATCTGATGAACAACCCTTCTAAATTATATAATAAGACCTCAAACAAGAAAATGTCAAATATTTCTCATAAAAACAGATATTATAAACTGAAATTTAGTATATTTATAATATAAACTAGCCGAGTTACTCGCGACTTGCTGCGTGTCACAGATATTTCTGTTAGAAAATCATCATTGATTTGAAATCATTGTTATAATTTGTAGAGGAACATGATGCTTTATGAACATTACTCAATGATCTTTCCGATGTGACCTCCATCTTCTGGCTTTCACCTTCTATATTTTGGATAAGAGTCATTCGCTTGTTTAAATTTAAATTTAATTTAAATCAAAGGGGAAAAGAAATTCAGTGGGTGGTGCAAAAACAGCTTGATCTGATCCCTTTGATATGTATTTGATGCAATACTTGAGTGAATGAACTGATGAGCAGATTTCAACATTGATATGACAGTTGAATTGTTAAATATGTATTGTAAGGCACTACATACTGATTACTGATTTCTTGTTCAACTTGTCTCATTTTGATCTTACCTGGGAGCCATTCTCTTGTTCAAATTTAAATTTAATTTAACTCAAAGGAAAAGAAAATTTCAGGGGGTGTACCCCCTCCCCCGGATCCCTTTGAAGAAAAATGAAATATATTTATCCAAGTACCCTTGGAGTCATTCCCTTGCTTAAATTTAAATTTAATTTAAATCAAAGGGAAAAGCATTTCAGTGGAGGTTTGTGCCCCCTGGGGACTCCCTTTGATTAAAATGAAATATACTTATCCAGGTACCCTGGATAATGTAGTTTCAGAATATATATGGTTATGGGGGTCTATCTCCAAAACCCCAGGAAGAGTTCGATAATAAACAAACAGACAAAGGTTAAAACTTTATATATAGAGAGAGAGATGTACATCTTGAAAACTTAAGCAACTTGCATATAAAGTCTGGCATGTCAAACGTTCGTGGAATTTGAATAAAATGATTTGTCTTTTTCGATGTCAAATTATCCATTATTTCTCGTGTCTACCTGGACATATTTCTTAAATTAACTCCATCATGAAATTAATTTTCGATCAATTTTTTTTATTTCTATTAGAAAGCCCTTTACTTTTGGATAGCACATCACATTTCATACAATTAAATCATGCAGAAAAATGGGATCAGAAGTAATTACTACCTGAATCAATTACTAACTAGTTTTCAAGTAAAGGCAGTTTGTTGAATTGATTATGTAGCATTAATTATATAGCATAAATGTCACACTGCCAGGCAAGATTCGAGTTCAGGTTTCTTCTTCACTATGAGGATATCTGTACACTTTTTAGTCGAATTGTTTATATCTTTCATAGAATTTCTCAAGATAACTTAGCATCTTCTGTTAAGGAGAGATACATTCACACAATGGAACATTACTTATTTCACCAGCGGCATCTGACACCTTCCTGCCTTCGGGTACTTTAGAGATGCTTTTGGCCAGCTCTTTTTTATGTTCTTCAAGGTATGAAAATTCTGTTCCTGAAGCAAAGACACTATTTTTTTATTTAGATGTACTAATTATGATTCTAATTTAAGAAAAAATCTCCATCTGACAACAGGTGTCCCCGTTCAGCAAAAAGAATTCTGATCAACCTGTCGTTTTTATTTGTATTTTTTTTTTTTCGTTTTTTTACAGTAATTTGTAATGGAACGACTTGATTTCGAAAACGAGTTTCAATTTGAAATTACTTTCAGATGTTCAACTAAATAATGAGTCCGATCCCCATACCTGTGGTACAGTGCTAACCTTAAATCACAAATACAATAAATATTAGTTGAGCAACTGAATAAATAACAGCTGTACAATTTGCTATTTATGTAGGGATCAACATATTTATTAGGCAGCTGCCTTTTATATAGCGGCACATAAACGATATTCTTTTACATGACATGTCTTTTCCGGATGTGGGCGATCATGGCGCTTTCTCCTATCCCTTGTAGCCCTTAACAACATTTGCCAAGCGTCCTCCACTCCGTTTCACCATCCGTTAACACACACTCGTCAGCTTTCCCCTGTGTCTCTTACCCTCGATGTTCCCTGTGGGTGTCAAATTTCCCAAGCCCTCCTTCCTCATTATGCCTCCAAGTAATTTCAGCTGTCTCTTTCTGATTCTAGGTATAAATGTCCATTTTGTTTCCATTTTTTGAAGACATCTTGGTTGTTTACGCAATGCCCATCAAATTTGTTCTGAAATGTCAAACGCACACAGTATATATATATATATATATATATATATATATATATATATATACTATACTGTTTGGTTTGGCATTTCACAAATTAGATGAACATATATATATATATATATATATATATATATATATATATATATATATATATATATGAGCATTTGGGCAGCAATCCTCTTTTTATGCAAGTTTCGTTGAAAACGACTGACAATATAATTTCTCATGTGTTCGTATATTTTTTTTTTCTTTTTTTCTTTCCAGGGCATAGATTATATAAAAAAAATCTAATATGGTTTCCCAAACTATCTAATAGATTACCATATTAGACATTTTTTCTTTCTAAGGTAACCAATAGCAACACAAAACACTCAGAAAAAAATCAATAGCTTTTCTATATAAATCAAATACGTAGTAACTAGAAGCAAGATGAATATTCACTTAGAAACATCATAAAGAAATAAACAACTCCAATCGACAAAAAGAAAAAGAAAATTATGTATTTATTATAATATATTTACAACCGCTAACCTCATTGTCAAAAATAATAATTCACCTGAAAGATCTAAATGACAGAAAACCAATATTATTTACAAATTTACATGTTCCTTAAGGAGCTGTGTTGCCAATCAATCCAAATTTATAAATAATTATACTGGATATACTACATGTTGAACAAGAAGACTCACATTACATCTCTCTAACCATAGCTCAATTAGGTCTCATTTAAAAACATATGGAGACCTACCAAACTCTATCCATAACATACTCGTTGATAATACAAATATAATAGCAGCATCCACTTAT